GAAAGCCCTATGAAGCGCTATATAAGTCTAACTGCTATTGCTATTGCTATTGCTAGTACCTGCGCAACACTCTGGTGAGCAGCTGGAGTGTCGCAGAGGCTTGTGGAAGGCTTGCTGACAGGTAGGATGCATGCGCACGATGCATGAGTGTGCACGCACGACACACTTGTGCATGTGGGTAATACCAGGGCCGTTCCAACCATACCAGTTGGAATTAAATCTGGAACCCACCACTGGTATGTATGTATGTATGTATGTGGATGCGGTGACTCAGACAGTTTTTTCCCTCAAACTTAACATCAATTAAACTGATTTCTAAATCTAATATCTATAAATAATTTCTCTCAAAAACCTTTAAATCCAGAGAGCAGAAGAAACCACATTAATTCTGCCCTTTAGAAAGGTTTTATTTTTATTATTTGCATTCTGGAATTATAGATACTTCTGAAACGTTTCAGTGGAAAGTGACAGCATTCTTTAATGGAATAAAACTGAATAATTGTCTTCATGGATAATACGGTGATATATGATACATCAAAGAAAAAGAAGGGCAAGATACCAAACTTTGTGCAGAATCAGATTAATGAATTTGGGCTCCTACCATCAGTATTATAGAAAGCAACAACAAACATTATGAGCTTCTTAGATAGGGCCAAGAATTAAGATAAGTATATGCAAGAAAACGTAACCTAGATACAGTAATTCAGCTCAAAACCTCCTATCTTATTTTTGGGAATTGAAACTTGTCTTTACATCTCTAATGTGCCCATTATACCAATCAACCCAATAATTAACGATATCAGTATTCATTAATTCAGAAGTGCTTACCAAGCTTACTACTTATTTAAACCCAGCTTTTTACTAAAAATAAAACAGTCTGAAGAACTCGGAAGAGTATTTAGGTAGTATGTGACATTTCAATATTTTACAAAGGGAGAGTACATTTTTTTCAGATTCCCCATAGTCCATATTAACATATATTCTCACTTTTCTCAAGCAAAAGATAAGACACAGAGGAGCAAGTTGGAAAGAAAGAGAGTGTATTGTATAGTACTGTATAGTAAACATATAGATCTCTAACTGTAAGCTGTAATATATGCTTACCAGTGAGAAGAAATATCAGAACACTTTAACTCTAGCGGAGAGCCTTGTTCCACTTCAGATTCCAAATTAAGTGAGATTATATATACACTTCTATAACTGGATCAACTAAATCCGAAAACCCTCTGAAAACCAAGATAGCAAGTTTACAATAAATGTAATAGGGCATCATAGTCACTGGCTACTGTACCCAAGTACTAATTCAGATCTTGGAGTAATTAAAGAAGTGAGTGATACTTTCTATTTCAGAGCACGCACAATAATCAACTGGACAAGAAGTATTCAAAAGCCCCAGTTAATCTCCCAAGAAGCTTCCATACAGTCTCAGAAGCCCTTTCTCTTGTTAATAGGATTATGCTCAAACCATCATTTGCTTTGATCAAGTTGTACAACTCCACACTCAGGTGTTCAGTAGGATAGATGTATTGTTTCAATCAACAAGAGAAAAGAAACATGCACGTTGAATTTGAGAAAGATAATCAAGTTTTTATCTAATTCTTTGAACTGCCTTTCCTCAGAGGTTTTCTTGGTATCTAGCTTCCCTTGCACCTGGTTAAAAATGGGCACGCCTGAAAGAAGGACTTCCAGAAAGATTTCAATACCTGTGAAGTTCTTGCTACACAGAGATAGATTTTTCACAAATTCATGTGTCAGCAGAGATATGCAAACTGGAAATTATCCCCCTAGATATTTATAATAGTGCTATGTGAGTTTGTGGATTTATTTCACAATTCTAAATCTTTTTTAATTCCTTAGAAGAAAAGTCCTGGTTTCAAATTAATACAGATCAATAAATTACAGTCATCCTGTCTGATTTTTTAAAAAAATTATTTGTGTGTATTTATTTGATGGGGCTCATAATCTACTCCAATTCAAAGAACTTTGAGTGGGGAGGACACTGCAAAGCATTAGGGGCTGATGATGTGACAAGTGGCCGTTTCCACTTGTCTCGGTACCCAACATCAAAAACAAGACCTAACATCTGAACATCTACAGAACTGTGACTTCAATTGCCTGTAGAACAGGGGTGTCGAACCTGTGGGATAGATGAGTCATGTACTGGCCACGCCCACCCCAGTTTAACGAAGGGGGGAAAGTCATGATACGTCATGTGACGACAACATGATGCTGCGAGTTTGACACCCCTCCTGTAGAACATTGTGACAATAGCCACCTCATCTCCATTGCTCTGAAATTGTGGGCCCAAGATATAGGGAACTCGTTTACTCCCAATTTCAAAAAATACATTTTTACATCAATTTTATTTATGTATTTGCTTTAGAAATAAAAATAGCTTAAGTTAAGAGTATGGGTATGTGTGTGTACAGTGCATAAGTGTATATTTGTGTATGCACATGTGTGCACAGATGATTGACAGTTGCTTTCCTGAACAGAAAGCGGAAGGGCACATTAACTGGGGACAAGATGTAGACTGCAGTGGTTTATAAGCAGGCATCTCAGTCCAGACACAATTTTCTTAAACTAGCTTAGAGTCAAACTGGCATCAGCATAGGATAGGGGCAATTTAAGGTTACAATGCAGATATGCCCATAATTTAAATATATAAATGCATAACTACATAATTGCCACATGTACAAATCTTTATTTGTAAGATCTATTTCTTACCTCCCTCCATAGTTTCAAAGTTATTCAGTGGGCACAAATGGATATCACAGAGATGCTAAAAAAATAATGGGGCCGTTGTATGTTGGGGTCAAGCATAAGCAAAACGGAAGGCCAGTCATAAAAGGGAAAAGCCATTCCTGCACATAGACAAACACACTCAGATAGAGAAGGAAGAAATATATATATTGCTATCACTATAGCAGTTCCTAATTTGTCCCTGTTCGGTTGCTTCACTCAGCTTGCCAACACTGAATAACGTTTGGGGTGAGTTATTGTGCAGGGTACATGCAATAAATATTGCAGTTGGATTCATTGAATTGCCTGGGAGCACTTAATATAGTTAAAATAGAAAATGAAGAACAGAGCATGAACTGGAAGGATAGAAGCCTGATACAGGGAAAGAATGAACCAGAAACCTCCAATTCTGTTTACTTAAATATGAAGATACAGCGCTTTACAGGATAGCTTGAATAATGCTTATGTTCCCATTCCTGGTGATGCATAGCACTGCAGAGCCATTCATAATGAACTTGATTTAAAATAGCAAATAAGCAGCTCCGAGGCAGCTTTCAAATTATGTTTCTTACAAGCATTACCCTGAAAGCTTTCTTTCATTTTCTGCGTTATAAATTAGATTCCAAACCTCTTTTCTTCGTCATCCTCTTCTCCATGGATCAGCCCTTTCTAAATTATAGCCACATATACAGAAAAAGCTATTTCCAGAAAGGAAGGGGGGGAAAAAAAAGAACAATTGGAAGTTCAATCATATTGAATATATGGATCAAAAAATAACTTCATTATACACACACACACACACACACACACATTTTCCTATGCCAACGTCAACTTACTGGACCTTATGAGATTGAAATTGCCTGNGCCGTTCCCGGAAGTTACTTACTTCCGGGTTCGCCGACCAACCGGTTTGCGGGGACCGCCGCGAACTGGTTGAAACCCACCCCTGGTACAATGACAATAAAGTAAAGTATTAAGAAAAACTTGGGGGCTGCTTTCTGTCTTTAAAAACATGTCTCTCCTTTAGGGAAATATAACATTCTGCCTTTTTAATATTTCTCTAGATATTCCATTCTACTAGGAGAGTTGGCTAGCTACCTTTCTACATTCTCAGACCTGTAAATATTCATTCTATAAATATTGACAAGCCTAGAAAAAGAGCCACGCAACAATGATCTAGAGGGCAATGCGTTTTAGCGGTTAGAGGAGTGTCCCTCAACCTTTGCAACTTTAAAACGTGTGGACTTCAATCCCCAGAATTCCTCAGCCAGCATGTGGAATTCTGGGAGTCGAAGTCCTCACGTCTTCAAGTTGGAAGACCAGGTTAGACCTTACCACTTTGGGTTTAGCTTCAGAGTTCTTTAGCAGCCACTCAATATCCAGACTCCCTGGCTCCAGAAGATGGAGGCGATGGTGGCAGGGCAAGGTCACGTTTCCTTCCGCCACCCTTTTAAATTCGGTCTGTGCTTGTGACATCCAAGGGCAACAGGAGGCTGAAAAAGAAGAATTAAGTCAGTTCACTGATTTCTGATCTCATCAATATAGTTTTTTTTTTAGTTTCCTTTTTGGTTGCAATATGGGCCAATATACCAAGAACTTTCCTTTGGCAGCGGGCGGGTGGGGGGAAGTAGTCTTTTTTTTTTTAGAGATCGTAACTTAGAAGGCATGCTGAAAATCTTTCTTTTGGGAGGTGCAATTAACAAAAACAACAGTGTATATTCTGCTTTACCTGATGCTCAATGATTAATGATGCATATGTATTTTGTTTACCCAAACAAACAGTACATCTTTGGAGTGCATTTTCACGTAATTACGTGTTAGTAGATTAGTATTCAGATATACAACATTTAGGGTGCAGCTCTGTGTCTGGAGTTTGTTTGCATTTCCAAAGACATAAAAGGATTGCTTGTTTAAAAAAAGAAAAAAAAATCAAACACACATGACATCAATGGGGAAGATCCAGAGGTGGCATTCAGCCGGTTTAGACTGGTTCAGGTGAAATGGTAATGGTGACCTGTGGGTGGGGTGGGGTAAGGTGGGCCCCCCCTGCCCCGTCCCTCATCCCCATGATGTCCTATGTACAGTGGTGGGTTGCTCCTGGTTCAGCTGAACTGGTAGTAGCAGTGGCAGGAGCCCTGTTCGGACGCTTCTGCGCATGCGCAGAAGCATTACATGCGCATGCGCAGAAGCATTACATGCGCGCCCCGAACCGGTAGTAAAAATATTTGCAACCCACCGCTGCCTATATGTAGCCTTGTTTTAGACGCCCTGCACGCGAGCAAAGTGCATGCATGGAAGGCCGTGTCTATGCGCAGGAGGCGCGCATGTGAGGCACAGAAGGCGCGCAAGAGACGTAGAAAGCACACACGGGCCAACATTTGCAAACTGGTGGTAACCTGTGAATCCCACCTCTGAGAGGATCACCATTTTAGTCTTTAGAGTCAAGTATTCTGGAAGAATGAGAAAACACACACACACACACACACACACACACACACACACACACACACACACACACACACACACAC